ATATATATATATATATATATATATATATATATATATATATATATATAAAATCATCATGGGCTTTTTAAGTGAGATAATGAAAGCAAGTTAAGGCATAAGAAAATTTTTAAAATTAAAATGATATCATTGGTTAGTGAGGCTTCTTTTCCTTTCTCCCTTTGAACATTCTTGTTCAAATCTTAAGGGAATATTTAGAAAGGTCTGACCATTCCTTCTGTGTACTGATTATATAAGCCTTCTGTCTCCAGGTAAAGGTTTGCTAATTGACAGTGTATTATTGTTTACAGCCTTTTGTGGGAGGTGAGAGGCAACAGTGGGCAGTGTTTGCTGCCTGGTACATGTAGATGATCTGTGGTCTCTGTCCTCAAGGTTTGTCCTCTGCCCTAATGGGAGGGAAATGGGCCCACCCAAATAACTATAATACAAAATGCACTTTATGAGGAAGCCAAGCAGGGAGGGATTAAATTCTACCAGAGCAAGTAAGGAAGGCTTTAAGTAGGAAAAAGCATTTATGTAGATGGTTTGTTGATAATGTCAGTAGGGAACATTATATAATGCTGCTTGCTGCTAAATTCTTTCCTTAAATTACTTATTTACTTGAGTTTAATTCTTTCAACTGTATGGAGTAGGTGTTTTATTATTCCCATTTTGTTGATGGAATAACTGAAGTACGAAGATCAGAGAGCTAGTAAGTAAATCAGGATTCCAACTCAGGCGTCTGGCTTGTATCTATATCTATAGCTTATTTGCTATCTTATTTTCATTCTTCTTCTCAGGTCTATAGTTTCAAAGGGTTTATTGGGAAAATGCATTCCTCTATCATCTAAATTTTGGGATCAGTTTTTTAGAAACAACTCAAAGTAATGAAAATTTAGGTAAACAAAATATATTTTCAGCATGTTAAGTATTTTAACCCATTTTCAAAAGTTGCTTTTGGGGACTGGGACTTTGGCTCAGTGGTAGAGTGCTCGCCTAGCATGTCCGAGACCCTGGGTTCGATCATCAGCACCACATATAAATAAAGGTATTGTGTGCAACTACAACTAAAAATTTTTTTAAAAAGTTTCTTTTGGTACCAATTAAATGTAACCATTGAGTAGGACTTTTGATAATGCTTACTACCTGTCAGTACTCATAAAAATTCGGAAATAAGACGTTATAACTCCTTGAAAGAAGTATAATCATTGTATATATTATCTTGTAATTTTAAAAAACATTTGGCACTGTGTTTTTGTATTGAATTATGAAGTTGAAATTTAGTTAATGATTGAATGATCATCTCAGCCCTTTCAGTTTTATTTCCACAAATAGCTGTACTTACAATGGCTGAAATAGGGTTTGAATAGAGTGTTTTAAATATATAAAATGAGAGAAGTTCAGTTACTGATACTTTATGTTGGGGCAGCTTTGAAAATTCTTGGGGTTGTAAGGTAACTGGTGCTGTAGAATGTGTGCTTCCCATACAGACCTCTCAGTAAATGGTTGTTGAAAGAATGGTCCAGATGTTACTACTGAAGTTCCAGGAATAATACATGTTTGTTATTGGTTGTCTAAAAACTGGAAAACAGTTAATGAGTATGGGGGTGAATGGTGGTAGGGCTGCTGCCTACCCTTACCTGTCTAGTAAGATCCAGTCTCTTCAGCTCCTTTGGTTCCCTGATTGACTATACTCAGGGTTCTGGAGGACATACTCTTCAAAGGAATAGAGTTGTGTTCTTCTTTTGACTGAGGTGGTAGAAAACCCCTATAGTAGGATAATTTATGGCTGATTACGCTTAAACCCAGTGAGAAAAGTAGCAGAACTATGCCAGGATTTGAAGCCCACATATTTGTAATATTAAAATAAGACAAAGATGGCAAAACAGAAAGCTTGTGTGTGTGTGTGTGTGTGTGTGTGTGTGTGTATGTTTTAACACACCTAAATTAGTAGTGGTAGTATACTGTTTCTATTTACCATCCTCAGTTGACAAAATCTTCTAGAACATCAGCCTGTAATTTTATGGAGATGCTTATAACAGCTTTTCTTTGTTTTAAAAAATTTATAGCTTTCTGTATGTACAGGTTGGTTTTGAAAGGTTGTTCTTAGTAAAAAGGAGAATGAGTTTGCCAATCAAAGGAAAACTAGACATACTCTCACCTCCTTGTGGATAGAAATCTGGGGGGCATCTTTTCCCACAATAAAAGTTTTGTCTACAATGCAAACCCACTTGGGCAGTTAGCCTCCCTGTTAGATGATCTCTGCATCGCTCTTAGGGAAGACTAGCTTAGCAGGTCATTTAGTGACCTGACCATTCATATTGATGTGTAAATTTAAACATCCCTTAGCCTTGTTAATTGTCTGTGGCCTGTGATAATGGTAAAACATGCTTAGCTTTTAAATTCTTGAACAATCTCTTTGCCTTCCCCTGAATTAACACTAGACCATTTGGCAACCCAAACTGATGTTGATTCTTTGGCCACATGCATAAAGAGGTTTCTTGTTTTCCTTATCTTTTGCTGATTCTTACTGATTCTACAGGCATACACTTTCAACATATAATAATATGTAAATCTCTAATCCCATATGCACAGAAAACTTTCTTTCTTTTTTTTTTTTTTTTAGTG